AAAGTTGTACACAAATGTTTATGACAGCATTATTCATAACAGCCAAAAAGTGGAAACAACCCAAATGTCCATCAACTGACAAAAAGAGAAACAAAATGTGGTCTACCCATATAATGGGACATTATTCAGCCACAAAAAGGAATAAATTCCAGACACCTGCAACAATAGAATGACCCTGGAAAACACTGTGCTCAATGAAACACTGTGGCCCAGACACAAGGGCCACATATGGCATGATTCCACCGATACGAAATGTCCAGAAGAGACAAATCCATAGAGACAGAAAGTAGATTAGTGGTTGCTTTTGGCAGGGAAGGTAAGAAATGATGGCTAGGGGGCTTGGGGTTTCTTTCTGTGGTGATAAAAACTGACTGTGGTCATTGTTGCATGTATCTGTGACTACATTTAGCACCGCTGAATGGTATACTTTAAAGGGAAGAATTGTATGGTATGTGAATTATATCTCAATAAATGGTTAAAATAAAAGAGGAAGGGAGAGTCCTCCTTAGGTTCTGGGTCTAAGCCACGTGGTACGGGCCAGCTGACCATCTCTGCACTAGGGCTTAGGAACACTAGCCAAGTTAGCAATGAAGGAGCTGATGCTCTCTTTTTCTGTTGTTCTTTATTTCTTCCAAATGGGTGACCATGATTCAGGCAGAATCAGGCATTTGTGTGGTAACTGATGGTGACACCATTTTAATGCTGTCAAAACCTCACCTAATACCCACAATGTGCATGAATCTCTATACGTCATGCCAGATGAAAGAAGCCAGATCAAAAGACACTATTCTGCACAATTCCTTTTATATGAAGTTCTGGACCAGGCAAAACTAACTTACGATGAAAAAATTTTTCAGGTCAGTGGTTGCTTCTTGGGCTTTGGGAGTAAGGGACTGAGCAGGAAAATGCATGAAAGAACTTTCTAGGGTGTTGGAAATGTTCTGTATGCTGGTGGGGGTTTGAGTTACACAAGTTTTTGCATCTGTAAAAACTCAGGGAATGATACACTTAAGATTTATACATTTCAGTGTATGGAATTTTACTTGAAAAATAGAACCATAAACGATGCTGACCCCTGTTGTGTGCAGCATTGCATGCTAACATCTTTGGAGGGAGACTATACTGATGGCTGTAATTCACTTTGAAATGTATTAAAATAAGACGGATTGATAGATACACAATAAAACAAATATAACAAAATGGTAACAATTGTAGAAACTAGGTGACAGGTATTATATAAAACTTCCTTCCACTTTTATGTACGCTTGGCCTTTTTAAAAATTATTATTATTAAAGGAAATATCATGAACTGCAAGCAAATCGAAATCTTACCCTGATTTCTAGTAGATGCCTAGATTAATCTGATGAAAACCACGCACCTCTTCTCAGAGGCACCATTCCAAAAGAAACGAAATTTTGCCCGTAATAGATTTCCTAAAGCCCATTTATGGACACCCAATACATCCAAAGAGCTAACGGCTTAATGGCTTTCCAGATGTAGATGGAGGGCAAGGAGTGGAAGTCAACTGGGAGAATTTTAGGAAAGTATCAGTGAGAGAATAATGGTGCAGTTATAATTGAAAACTGACATATTGTAACTATATGATCATGTTTCTGTTACTGATTTTAGTAGTTTCTTTATCTGGCAGCCTAGTTCCTCATTTAGCATCCAATTAATAAAGATGCTATTGACAGGCTGCCTCAATGTTTTCATTTGGCTTAGTTCTCACAATCAGGGGTTTTATTTTGAGAGAGAGAGAGAGAGAGAATGCAACTACGGGAGGGACAGAGAGGGAGAGACAGAGAGAGAGAGGGAGAGAGAATCCCAAGCAGGCTCCACGCTGTCAGCACAGAGATGATGCGGGATTCAAACCCACATGAGATCATGACCTGAGCCAGAGTCAGACACTTAACCGACTGAGCCACTCAGGTGCCCCTGGACTCAGATTCTTGATCAGAATTAGAAAGGATTTATACTGAACACACAGTCTTAATGGTTCCTATCACCTAGTTGTCCCAGACACTGTGCTAAGCTTCTCTGCATATGTAACCTCATTGTAACCTAGGTCACAATTCTCTTGTTACCGTCATTCCCATCTTACATGTCAGGAAACTGAGGTCTGAGGTTACATGGCTCGTCAAAGTTCACAGGGCCATGAAGGCCTCTCTCTGACTTTCAAATCCAGACTTCCTTTCTCAGAGTCTAGCACACCCTCAACTGTTCCTTCAACTCAGTACTTGGGTGACCGATTTGGTTGGGGCAGGCTTGCACGTAAACATTTAGGAAATGCACTTAATTTTCCTCCAAAGGATGCTCCTGATTCAGCAGCCGCCACCATGACCACACAGGAAACAGTGAGAACCTGCAGGGAGCATGAACCTGGCTCTCCTGAAGCTGGCTGTTGACCTTCCAGGATGATCTTCCTGCCCTTGTCATTCTCAGAAACCAGCAGCCTGACAAGGAACAACAGAAGGGACCTTCTGGGGAAGCAGACGAGAAGCTGTCTCACCCCACTCCAGGGATACTGTGTGCCTCTACTCTGGGAGGAGTGAGGCAGCATTTTCTGAGGGGGTGCTCTTGGCATGGGGTGGAGCCTGCTGGGAATGCCCTGTGGCTGCTGCCTGGCTGCCCAGCAAGACTGTTGTCTCTGTCCCTCCTCCTACCCAGTGCCCACAGCAGCCTTCCACCTCCCAGGCCGAGGGGCTGTGGGGAAATTCAGCATACACAGGATGACTGGAAGTGACCTCAGCCCCCAGGAAGGTGGGCTGTGAGGGTCCTCACAAGGCACCTGACCCATCTCCTGTAGACACATCTTCTTCCACCGGCAGCATTCCCAACAGATCCTAATTCTGAAAAATCAGTCTACCTCATTGGATGAGAGATGTTTCCCCCAGTGGAGGAAGAGAGACTGAGAGCAAGATCTAGAGCAAGAGGGAGCTTCACACACACACACACACACACACACACACACACACACACACACACACACACAGAAATAAAGCAACAGATGGACAGAACAAGAAGGGAGAGGGAGAGCCAGAGATGGTAGGACAGGAGACAGAAAAGAAGGAAAGAGGAAAGCAAATCACTGCCAACATGCAGACAGTGGCAGCCTTCACATCTCCCCACAAAAGCTCTGCAGGACATTTCCCTCAGCTCAGGACGACTCTGGCCTCTGAGGATTCTGGCAGAGATGAACACTACACCTAGATTTGTTCTTCCACACCTGTGACTCAGGCCTGACCCGTGGGCTCCCTCCTGGGCCACAGTGATTGGTTTTTGGCTGGGTGTGTGACTCAAGGCAGTCCAATGAGACTCTACCCTAGGAGCTTTCTTGGAACCATGATGAAAAGGAAGCTCTTTTCCACTGGGACTTTGGGCAAAAGGACAATGAAAGCCTGGAAATGCTAAAGACCACCATGCAGGAAGATCCTGCTTGAGAATGAAGCCAACACAGAGGGAAGCAGAACAGGAAGATGGAGACAAAATCCTAAGACCAACTAAGCTCCTGGATCCAGCCGTGCCTGAAGCTATACCTAACCTGGGATTTTTCTGGTGTATGATCTGAGGCCTTTTTTTTTTTTTTTTTTAAATTTTTTTTTTTCAACGTTTTTTATTTATTTTTGGGACAGAGAGAGACAGAGCATGAACGGGGGAGGGGCAGAGAGAGAGGGAGACACAGAATCGGAAACAGGCTCCAGGCTCCGAGCCATCAGCCCAGAGCCTGACGCGGGGCTCGAACTCACGGACCGCGAGATCGTGACCTGGCTGAAGTCGGACGCTTAACCGACTGCGCCACCCAGGCGCCCCTGATCTGAGGCCTTTAATGCTTAAGTCACTTTGAGTTGGAGTATTTGTCATTAGCAAGTGTGACAGTCCTACCAGAATGTGAAAACTGCCCTATCAGTCTTGCCTCTTTCACCAGCTCCCAGAAACCACCCCTGAGTACGTACCAGCTCTCCTGGCAAAAATGGTGGCCAACAGGGCCTGGGACCGTTCCAAAGGGAAACACAGAAGCCCAGAAGAAAGTCGTTAAATAAGGATTAAAAAAAAAAGTAAAACCATCACCAGGAGAAAGGTGGGCTATGCTTGGTCTACATAGCATTGTGTTATGACTTTTGTGAGGCCCAAGCACTTTTGCTTCTTGCATGGGTCCCTTCCTCCATTAAAAAAAAAGTTAAAAGTTATATTTTACAATTGCATTGGTATAAAGATGAATACAATCCACGATGGATCATATTCCTTTTTTCTCATTATTTTAAATGAAACCAAAACATTTTCAGGGGTCCTTAAAAGTACCATGGGCCCTGGCCACTGTCTATTCTATCCAATAGATTCACTGGCACTGGGCCCGTATTATCCAGATTGCTTGTCTACATGGTCCAGTTTCCCCAACTTTCTTCTCCTTATCCTTATCTTTTCCTTCTCCTTCTCCATCAGGTGGAAGGGTCCGATGAATCCCTCAAGCCCAGGCCAGCCTTTCCCTCTCTCCCTCCAACACTTCCCTGGGCCATCACTGCTCAGCTTCATCTTTGAGGCATCCCCACACTGGGGACACAGCTGTCATTGGGCGTAATTTCTGTGTGTCATGGGGAGCTGCTCCCTATGTGTCAGGTAACGAGACTGGGAGCTCCTCTGTGACCCATGTGTCTTTCATTGAAGTACCTCAAGTCCTAGCACAGGCTGGATACAGAACAGATCCCTGGTTGGGGAGAGACAGGGGACAAAGCATGCTTCCTACTTAGCAAACTCTCGTCACTTAGGATTTATATTCGGGCCAGGAAGGATACAGAAAGGGAGGAGACAGGCCAGTAGGAGTATGGTGAATGGAGGTGCACATGTGTCCAATGTCTTTCAGAGCCCCCCTCTATTCTAGAGGACAAGGTGCTGACTGGCAAGGCTGGAGGGGGTGTGCGGGCCAGCCGAGCCATTGGGCAGGCACGAGTCAGCATGAGAGGCCCCAAGTGAGTTCCTTGGCCCCAGATTCCCCCTCACTCACCTTCGTCACTCGTGTGAGGCTCCGTGCCATTGTCATGGTCAACTTCATCAATAGTCCCTGGCTCACTATGTGGACTGTCACTGCAAAGAAACACGGGAAGGGGACTTGTTGGGCTTTGCACCCTCACACTGTCCTCAGCATCCCGTAAGTGCCAGCCAAGCCCACATCTGCACTTGACCCAGGTCAGGCCCAGGCCTGCACCGTCCTGTCTTGTCCATCTGACCACCCATGGACACTCCTAACAGGAAACCACTCCCAGCCCCCTCAATGGAAAGCTATCCTGAATACCCTCCTCCAGCTTCCCCCAGCCCTGGAATTTGCTGGGCTATCAATTTCTAGGTGTTCTGTAAGACCCAGAGGGCATCATAAAACCCTGGCATTTATCCTCGGAAGGACCACGGGCCAGAACAGAAAGGAATTGTGGAGGTACCGTGAGACATTCACCTAGCCTGGTTCTAGGTCTCGCAGAGGAGGTGACACCCCGAGAGAGGTGGCGTGGGTCCACCTCACAAGGTGCTGGGTCCTCCGGGTGCCTCACGATGCTGTGTGCAAAATCCCAGACCAGTCCAGCTAGTGGAAGCAGGCTGGCAGCCATGATGGGCGTGGGAGTGGGTAGCCTGAATCCAGGCCTGTCAGACTTGGTCATTAATGCACTGGGACAATTTCGCCAGCTGCTACCCCCTCACTAGACTATAAGCTTCTTCAGGCCAGGGTTTATTCACCTAGTCAGTTTTTTTTTAACTAAGTCATTGATGGAGTCCTAATATATGCCAGGCACTGTGGGAGGTAGGAGAGACGTATTGATGGGTAAGACTCTGCCCTTGTGGGCAAGGAAAGAAAACTGCTACAAGCTGAGATGTGTTATGTAGGAACAAATGAGCAGAGACAAGAACGGCTGAGGGGACCTGCATAGGGTGGTCAGGGAAGGCTTCTTAGAGGAGGTGACATCTGCAGTGCCTTTTGAAAAAATACGAACTTCATTATGAAAATTCTCCATTGCCTCCTGGATAAGGTCCAGACTCTGCACAGTGGCTTGTTTAAGACCTTTCATAACCTGGCTCCTGCTGGCCTGTGGAGCCTCCGCCCTCACCATTCACTTGGCACAAGCAACACTCTGGCCACATGGAACCACTTTCCACTTTACCGAAGGCTCCAAGCCCAGAACATTCCTTGCCCATGCCTCACCTGGCTGACTCCAGTTCATCCCACAGGTCTCAGTTAAGGTTCCTCCAGGAAGCCCTTCCTGACCTCGCTACATGGGCTCAAGGAGCCTCACTTCTGGAACTGCCTGTTTCCTCCTCCACCGGAGCTCCCTGCATCAGGGGTTAATCCTGCTCAGGTTTCATCCCTGCCCCCCTGCTCAGGGCCTGGCCCAGGACAGACACTCAACACCCATTTGTCCAACTGTTGAATGAATGAATGTTGTCCACTACAAGGAGACCCTCAGCCAAATCCCCCCTTTTGGCTTTGCAAATGTTTCCAATGTAATTAATAGTTTTTCTTTCTCATGAGACACAAATGGGACTGAGGCAAGTATGGTTATCGTATATTGTTCTTTGGTAGGTACAACCGATCTTTAGGACGCTTCCCAGAACACTAATTACACACATTGCAGCAAGAAAAGAGAACTGGGAATGGTTGCAAACGCTGCGTGAAAAGCTTCTTTGTCCAGAAAGTACGCTTGCTGGCTGTTTAATGTTTCTGTTAGAGAACAGGGACAGACCTGCTCCTGGAGCCTCACATAAAGGTTACTACAGAGCTGTGATTACAAGACAGCGAGGCCCGTATCTCTATGGGGCGCAGGGTGGGAAACAAAGGGGCTGCAATGTCTCCCTTCTTTGAAGTGAATCAAGAGTTCAGGAATGCTTTGATAATCCAAAGACAAACCCCCCTGTAGGCACCTAGCTGAAAGCAGTGTGGGTAATACCTAAATATACAGCTGTGTGTTGTGCAGGAATGGGTATAAAGAATGAATAGGAACCCTTTGACTGGTCTCTGTCAGTTGGTGTTCTGAATCTCCTGTCCTTTCCACATTAAAAAAAAAAATGCCCTATCTTTACCACATTTTAAGGTCTTAGTCTGGGGAAGGTGGCCAGCCCTGATTTTGATTAGGTTCTAAAATTTTTCTCATGCAGCACCAGGTAAACAGAGGTACCTGACTATCAACTGCTGACCTGGCCTGGAGCTCTCAAAGAATGTGAACTCACTTTGTCTGGAAAAGAGAAGTTGTTTCTCAAGAGGTGGAGGTGGGGATTATTATCCAGCCCCCTGCTGCCTCGGATGGGCTTAAGACACACCTGGCCATTGACAGCTTAGTATCTCCTAACTAATGTGATTAGCTCACCAGACCCAAGCCTTAGCAAGGGGATATACTTCTTGGATTTATGTTGGGACCCTTGGGAAAGAGAAGGTCTTTTTCCACTGGGGATGCTCAGAGAATGTTCTCTAAATCTGGAGTTACCATATGTCTTCCCGAAGCCACCAAGGAGAGGATGCCTGAGAATGAAGCCAATGCAGAAGAAAGCAGAGCCAGGGGCTGGGGATTGCAGGACCAATTCCTGATAATAACAGTTGAACCCCTGAATCCAGCTACACCTGAAGTCATAATCCTAGACTTTTTAGTTAAGTAAAGAAAATCAATAAATTCCCACTTAGCTTAACCCAGTTTGAGTTGTAGTTCTGTCCCTTACAAACCAAGAGAGTCCTGGCTGATGCAACTATCTCTGGTATAAGGCTGCAGCAAAGCTCAAATGAGAAAATGCATATGGGAGTAAAGACTATAAAGCAGTAAGAAAATCAAAGGGTTTCTTACTGTTCCTGCTTAACAGCAAAAACGACAGTGATGATGATAATAATAATATTAAGAGGAATGGAATCTTACCAATATTCTTCCCCTCCAGCCATGCATTTTTCATACACAGGTCCCTCTAGCTCCCGGGGGCTGGGGAAGATGGCTTCATGATGAATGATGATGGTTTTGATGACTTCGTTGACGTGTGCCTGGCAGGACACAGGGTCCTGCCCATCAGGGATGTGCATGAGGGTGGGCCCGAAGCAGATGGCCAAGTTGTAGGGGTCCATCATGTTCTCGTCACTATACTGCGAGAGGCTACAAGAAAGGAGGTACTCACAAGTCACCTGAGAAAGGTGAATCTTCCCCCCCGTGGGTTCTTTCTTTTGAGGGCTCTACTCAAGTCCAGGAGGGTTCCATGTTCTGTTTTAGGAAGAGCTGCACCTGCAGAAGCCTCAGGACATCCCCTCCCAAAGGAGGCCAGGGCTGAGGCAAAGAGGGGCCCCCCCTTGGCCGGGCAACTCACTGGTTGAGGAAAGCGAAGAGGTATCTCATGACCACGATGACCACGCGGGGAAGGGTGATGAGGATTTGCTGGATCTGGTGCACCCTCTCAGCTGGGTTCTCCAGTTCTGTAACATAAAGGGGCTTTTTGGGGTGTCTTTCGTCCTCAGAGAGCCAAGTACAGCCCACATTTGCTCAGTCCACATGGTTCAAGGGGATTGATATGTCACTCTGACCTGGCCACTCAGAGCAAGAATGTGAGTCTACACGTTCCCTTTTATGAATGAAGCTAGTGTCAGCTGAGCTTCTGTCACCTGACACCTGTGAGTCCTGACACAGGCATGGACCATGTTTCTTTAACCCCTTTATGAACACCAGCTGCATGCATCACAGGCACGGCACAGAGTAGGCCAGAAATGAGGGTGGACTAAATAACCAACTCTAGAGCTATATATTGGCCAAGGGGCCTGATAGATGCTTGGGATCTTATCTCTGACCCCCATTTTCAGGTCAGTCCTAGGCAGAGACATTGGTATTTTTATCAGTCAGGCCAGGGGTGGGAGCAGCAAATTGGGCTTGGTAAAGAGAAGAGGTTTGTGGGCTCTGCCTTGTGGAGAGGGCGTGCAGAGGGAAAGCTGGTGCAGAGAGTGAGCCCCAGAGCTCTGATGTTTGTCTGCAGGGCTGGTGCACGAGCCTGTGCCAGATTCTTTCTCAGGAAACATGTTTTTCTCACAGCCCCTCTCTCCAACCTCCACATTCTGTCAGTGTGTTCCTTTTAAAACGCAACCTCTCTTGGGGTGCCTGGGTGGCTCAGTCGGTTAACCGTCCGGCTCTTGGTTTCGGCTCAGGTTATGATCTCATGGTTTGTGAGTTCAAGCCCCGCATTGGGCTTTTCACTGACAGTGCAGCGCCTGCTTGGGATTCTCTCTCTCTCTCTCTCTCTCTCTCTCTCTCTCTCTCTCTCTCTGCCCCTGCTCATGCACTCTCTCTCAAAATAAATAAATAAACTTTACAAAAGATGCAACTTCTCTTGTTTCTCCTCTGTATCCCAGGCCCTTCACCATAGGGCTTCAACCAACTTTGCCTGCCTCACTGCTTAGCTGCTGCCCCTTCCTCAAGTATCTGAAGATGACACAGAGCCATGTTTCTCAAATGACGTGGTAGTGCACGCTTCTGGACATTTACAAATCTATGAGGCATTCTTTGGGGTTGTCACAGTGACTGGAGGGCACTACTGGCATTTCGGATCCAGGGGCCAAGGCGTCAAGTGTCCTGAGTGCATGGGACACACAACAAGGCACCGCACTACCCTAAATGCCAATACTGCCCCCACCGGGAAACTGTGCCAGGCTGCCTCATCCACCATCTTCCTCTCACAGAGGGCCTTCGTGCCCCTGGGCCTTTGTACGCACTGGTGGTCTCTCGACTCTGCCCAGCACACTGCAGCCTACCTTCGAAGTCTGGCACTGAGAAGCCTTGCCCAAGCCTCCCGCAGAACTAAAAGTTCTTGGACCTTCAGTGATTCCATTGCCCTTTATAGAGGCTGCTCCATGGGCTCAGCTTCAGTCATCACTGCCCTAGTACCATCTCCACTTATTACATTTTTTTCTTAAATATATTTATTCATAAAGGAAAGTTTACCTCCCTCTGTAAATGAGAAACCAGGAACACTTGCTATAATTAGGAGGTAACATAAATATAGATACAATGAAAGCAAAACAATGGTACTAAATTATAGGTTGTCAGTGTATTCTACAAACATTTCTGAGACTGAGGCCCCATCTCTCTGTTTAGGAGGGAGATAGACCTCTGAAATTTTTCTCCTTGAAGTAACCACAGGATTTGGGAGGGAAATCAGAAGGGATTTTTTTTTGCAGTGTGATTCGAGGTGTGATCCCAGGTATGTGATGTCATGAGCTTGCGCCAGAGGTCAACAACCTTGTCTGCTCAGGTGATCTGCTCAGGAAATAGATTAATGGGGCTTCCGGAAACACTAGCTGAGCACATGACATGGGGCTCAGACAGGGTTGGGCCTCTGTGGCCTGGAATTTCTCCCTTTTCTTTTTCTTTTTTTCCTCTTTTTTTGAGGGAGGGAGAGGGAGGGAGAGAGGGAGGGAGGGAGAGGGAGAGAGAACGCATACCCATGCAAGCAGGGGAGGAGTAGAGGGAGAGAGGAGTGAGAGAATCTTAAGCAGGCTCCATGCCCAGTGCAGAGCCCAACTCGGCTCAATCTCACGACTGAGCCGAAATCAAGGATTGGATGCTCAACTGACTGAGCCACCCAGGCGCCCCCATGGCCTGGAATTTCTGAGGGTGATTTGGAGCTTGAAGTGGACCTGGAAAGATGAGCAGTAGGTAGTGTGGAGGGTAGAAGGGCAGAGGAAGGGTCTTTTATACCAGGCAGGTAAGAAGCTTGAAGCCTCCAACCCCCAGTGGCCCTTTCCTGGCTGCAAATCTCTCAGAGCATTGTGAGAAGCATCCCTAATAACACTGGGTGTGGGGCAATTTTCTGTAAATCAATTAAAGAGTTTATTCTAAAATACTAAGATTTCCATATTATAATATTAAAAGGTTTATTTTTAGAAACTCCCAAAATGTTGCCTTAGGTTTGGCCATCTGATAGTCAAGGTGCCTTTACTTCAGGTCTCTAGATTGGGCTCTTGCCTTCATCCACAGAAATACCTCTGATGGCTTGTAACATTGGAAGAAGCCCACAGTCAACTTATTTTCACCATTTTTCTTGTCTGTCATATTGCTGACCTGACTCCCAAATCCTCTATGGCTCCCCATTACCCAATGGGAAAAGCTCCAGATCCTTGCAAGGTCTCTCCTCTCTTGCTCTATTTTACCCTTCCAGCCTCTTGCACCATGCACTGGCTGGGACACCCTCCTGCTGGTCCCATTGGTCTGTGTGTCCTCAAACTCTTCCCAGGATACTCTGGGTAGGCTCCTCCTAAAGCAAAACCAAGTCTTCCTCTGCCTCTTCTCTTCTAAGCGCCATTCATACCCAGGGCTGTACCATGCCATTTTCCATTATACATCATCCTGTTATCTCTACAGCTAGGTTTTAAGTTCTATGAGAACAAGGACCATACTGCTTCTTTCAGTATCCCTCCGTCCTACATAATGATGAGCCCATTGTACAACTTCAATAAAGATATGCCATGGAATTGATCATTCCACCATTCCACCTGGAAAATACTTACTAATAGTAGATATCAAATCTTGAAACCTTTCCTTAGGAAAGAGTGGATTTTCCAGTCCTCGGAAATACAGTTTTAAAACACCAGCGACTGAATTGATATCTCGTTCATTTTGATCATCCACAAGGGGGTCTTCACCTGAGAAGAAACAGGAGATGATGATTCAGCTTGGTAAAGAGACAGGAAATGTGCAGATGGCAGGAGGGATGGCCTGGCCCAGCAGTTCTCCCTGTAACTGATTTTGAAAATGTTCAAATATATGGAAATACTGTAAAACTGAAATACTGAACATCCATCACCCTTCACTCACACTCATTAACTTACACTCATCTTTTGCCATGTTTGCTTTCTGTCTTGTATTTATTATTGCTCACTGATTTGAGAGTATTTTGTTTTTTTATTTTAAAAAAAAAATTTTTTTTTCAACGTTTATTTATTTTTGGGACAGAGAGAGACAGAGCATGAACGGGGGAGGGGCAGAGAGAGAGGGAGACACAGAATCGGAAACAGGCTCCAGGCTCTGAGCCATCAGCCCAGAGCCTGACGCGGGGCTCGAACTCACGGACCGCGAGATCGTGACCTGGCTGAAGTCGGACGCTTAACCGACTGCGCCACCCAGGCGCCCCTGATTTGAGAGTATTTTGTAGACATCATAGCACATCACTGCTAAATACTTGAACACATTTCTCCCAATAAGGATATTCTCCTACATAACACCATAACATCATTACATCTAAGAAAAAATTAACAATAGTTCCAAAACACCATCTTCCATGCATTCAAACATTCTCAATTGTCCCATGTCTTTCATAGTTTTCAAAAGCTAAGATCTGATCAATAGTCCCATAATTCATTTGGTTGTTATGATTCCTTAGTCTTATGTTTATTTTATTTATTTATTCTTTTTTTAGAGAGGGGAGGGGCAGAGGGAGAAGGAGAGAGAGAATCTTAGGCAGGCTCCATTCCCAGCATGGACACAGGGCTTGATATCATGACCACGAAATCATGACCTGAGCCAAAATCAAGAGTCAGTCACTTAACCAACTAAGCCACCCAGATGCCCCCAACTTAGTCTTTTGAACATAAAAGACACCCCAACATTTTTTTATCATAGTTCATTTTTTACAATATTGCCTCTTCTGAAGAGTCCAGGCCAGTTGCCTTATAGAATGCCTCCCACTTTGGATTTCTCTGATTGTCTCCTCAAGAATAGATTTAAGTTAAACATTTGTGGCAACAATAGTACATGGGTCATGTTGTAGACACCTTATTGTATCTGTGTATTGTATCTGTGTATCTGTATTGTATCTGTGAGGCACATAATGTCAGCCCATCTTGCTACTGGTGTTGCTAAGTGTGATCAATGGATTAAGGGGACAGCCTCCAGATCTCTGCACTGCAAAGGTTTATTTTCCCCTTTGTAAGTATAGAATATAAACTATTTTTGAAAAAAACAAGTGATGTATGTGCATGTCATTGTGCTCAACATGTTTCACCCAATGCTTTTAACATCCACTGATGATTTTTGCCTAAATCAATTAGTATCCTAGGTTGCAAAATGGTGACTTTCTAATTCTGTCATTCCTTCTACATTTATTAGCTGGCATTCTGCCATAAAGAAAAGGTTTCCCCATGCCTCCCTCACTCTTCCTCTTATTATTGTTATTATTTAGCATCTTTAAGGGATTGTTTTTATCATTTCTAATTCAGCGTGTCATAATCCATTATCATCACTAGTCTTTGGGATGCTCAGATTGTCTCCAATTTTTCCAGGGACAAAAGTTCTTTATATATGACCTCCACTGAGCACTTCCTTGCTTTCTGGCACAAAAGATGTCCATGGATCACCTTGTACTTTCCTTGACCCAGATCTGGAATCAAACATTGCTCCAAGGAGATCTGTTTGCTTTTTGTAGGGAATGGTATTTAGAAACCAGGATATAAGTTCCAGGTGTGCTCATTGGCACAGGAGTGCTATAAAGAGCTTCTAAACCTTTTCAGTGGATACAGCAAGAATACACATTAATTCTTTTATGAGTTCACATAGTTATTTCCAATTCATATTTCAGATATAAGATTTTCTTTACCTTCATGTATTTTATATTTGGATTTCATTTTTCTTAGTGAAAATCTTGGTTCTGAATAACATTAATATTGTATCTGCCTTATTCTATAATATATGTAACAGTTTAGAAATTTTAATAGTAATATCACCACCATTAAATTTAAGATTTCTTCTCAGGGGCTTTGTTTTGGGGGGGGTGTGGATTTAATTCTAAGAATGTATCCCATTAAAGATATATGGTCAGAAGACAAAAGGTAGATTAGTGTTTGCCTACAGTGGTGGACTAGGATTTAGGGGATAAGGGAGTGACTACAAATGGGTAGAAGGTTCCTTTTGGGGATGATGAAAAATTTCTGATATTGGATTATGGTAATGTTCACACATCTCTGTAAATATACTAGAAACCACTGAACTGTGCACTTTAAAAATGGGTGAGCTTTATGGTATCTAACTCAATAAAGCTGTTAAAAATGTATGACCAGAGCATATGTTCAAAAGTTACTCTCTGTGTGATAATCAATTTGATACACAGCTTGTTTCTACTTATATTCAATTTTAGGTTTTTTTTTTTTTTTTGAAATCCTTTTTTAAAAAATTTGCAGTTTTGAAAATATAAAGCATTTAAATTGTCCAAAAGTCAAAAACAGGTAAAAAGTTGCATGCAGACAAGCCCTACTCTTATCCTTTTCCCCTCCACACCTCACATTTGACCATTGTCGTTAGTTTCTGGTTTGCCCTGTTAAGCAAAAAACATACATATGAATTTTTTATTTCCCTTCACTTTTTCCGCAAATGTAAGTAGTATACAATACTGCTACATACACTTGTTTCTTTGCTTCAAAATAAACACTAGAAATCCCTCCATATCAGTGCACAGAGATCTTCCTGGTTCTTCTTCTTTTTTTTAAATGGCTGCAAAGTACTCTTTCGTGCATCAACCATAATTTGGTCAACCAATCTCCCGTGGACTGACAATCTTTCACTATTACAAATATTACTTCAACAAATAACCTTGTGCATGTGTTTTGGTATTTGTAAAGATGTCTCTGGCGAGGTCCTAGAAGTGGGGTTGTGGGTCTAAGTGTACATACATACATAGTTTCATTAGATAGAGACAAATTTCCCCCCACCTGGGGCTGCATCATCCTATACTCCCACGTGGCAACATAGGAGAACGCTTCTTTTCCACAGTCCTGCCCATGGAATGCTGTCAATCTTTCAAATTTTTGCCACCTGGACAGGGGTAAATGATATTTCAGGAGGGCAGCACTTTCCTGTTTAATCAAGGGCTGCTCGGCTAGATCCCCCGGAGTTTCCATGGGAGGAGATGAAAGGAAGCACAGAGCAATCTAACTCCTCTCTGAAGGTGCTGACAGATGTCTGCCCGACGGGCTTTTCCTCCTTCTCCCAGAACAGCCCACAGACTGTTCTAAGACTGGCAAGCAGTGAGGAGCAGAGCAGGAAACTCATACTTGGATCTCTTTACTCCACCTCCGTAGGAAAAGAATGCATGTCACTGCCAGGGACTCTGCTAGCCCCAACATGCTTTAGTGCAAATTAGAGAGGGCCCCCTACTTCCTTCCTGAACCAGGTCTTGTGGCTTACAGAGCATGAACCACAGTTCAGCTCCCACCTGCCCTCCTTGCCTGAGCACCCTTGTGTAGTGCCCAGCCTGAATGACTGTATATGGTGGCAGAGACACTGATGTTCCATAGGTCAACCTCTCCGATATCCCCACAGGAGGAGAGGAGAATTCCTTGTGGGGAAGCAAGAGAGAAAACATAACAAATCATTGTGTATACTGACAAAGCACTTCTCGAGTGAGAAGCGCACTTGCACATGTGATCTCTCTTAATCCTGACAACAGCACTGCATGGCAGTGAGGAAGGCATGGTTCCAACACCACTAATCTCCCGCAAGAGAGCTGAGAGCCCAACAAGCAAAACGATTTGCCCACATTCACACAGTCAAAACAGACACTGGCAGCCCCCAGGTCTCGTAATGCCTGGGAGATGTTCTTCCTTTTACCCCTGGTTTTCAAACCTATCTGTCTGCTTGCAGACCTATCTTCCTCTCTCCTTCCCTCCTTCCTTAAGAGAATGCTAGGGGCACCTGGGTGGCTCGGTCAGTTAAGCGTCCGACTTCATCTCAGGTCATGATCTCACGGTTCGAGGGTTCAAGCCTCGCATCAGGCTCTGTACTGACAGCCTGGAGCCTGCTTCAGATTCTGTGTCTCCCTCTCTCTCTGTCCCTCCCCTGCTCACACTCTGTCTCTCAAGGATGAATAAACGTTAAAAAAAAAAAAAAAAGTAAAACCCTAACCTTTTCATTTTCTTTTCAAGAAAAACTTTCTCTGAATGCCCAACATATAAAACAAAGCTGTCTTAGGGGTGCCTGGGTGGCTCAGTCGAAGCATCTGATTCTTCATTTTGGCTCAGGTCATGATCTCACGGTTTGTGGGACTGAGCCCCATGTCCGTCGGGCTGTGCACTCACAGTGCTGAACCTGCTTGGGATTCTCTCTCTCCCCTCTCTCTGCCCCTCCTCCACTCATGCTCTCTCTCTCAAAAATATATACACTTAAAAAAATAAAAATAAATAAAACAAAGCTGTCTTAGTTGAATTGTGAGGAGAGGTCCACACCTCCCTCCTAAGCCCCCTCTGTTCCTGTAACAGCCCTTGAGGCCCCTTTGGAGAACCAGGAGTTCAAATTAGCTGTTTCCCTATTATTTACCACATATTACCTTTGTGGTCTCATGATTCAAAAGCACATGGATTTTTTTCCCCATATTGCATGTTAGCGACCCTTGTCATGCACAATTAATACATGGACTTTATATATACACACATACGTGTAACACATGGACTTTATATATACACACATACGTGTACATATGTACACACACACACACACACACACACACACACACACACACAATTTGCTCTTCCTCTCCCTCCCAGAAGGCCATAAAAGGAAGCATCCAAATATTCTCTCCTCCTGGCTTAGGCCTTTGGCTTTCTACAAGGTGAGTCAATTTTGGTTCCAGAAATGACTGGAATTCCAGAGTTCAGGATGAACAGAATGGTTCATGGGAACGATGGCCTCCTCTGGGAGGAGAATTACAGCTAAAATTCTGGGCAAGTCTGAGAGAGAAAGCTGTGTTCATGCTTGGCTAGCTAATGTCCTGGGGATGGGAGAATTATTACCTAACAGACCTGCCTGCGGCACACTCTCAGCCGGGTCACCGGGGCATTGCCAGGGACTTTACGGCAGGGCTGTACCCAGGGCAGAGTGCACACAGCGTGTGCTTACAGGCTCTAAGGAAACGTGCTGCCAGACCAGGGGCACGGCAGGAAGCTTGCAGATGGTTTCTTGCACAAGGGCAGTTCTCGGTGGCCACAGGTCTTCCCAAGCCCGTTCTGAGGCTCAACATGATGACCCCTCCCAGCCATCTATAGGTCACAATCCTCTCCCTGGGGCAGGAGACAGATCTCTGAAGGGCCAGATGTCAAATATGTCAGACCCTCCATGCCATGACTTCAGTCTCTAATCCAAACCCTATCCTGATCTGCACAGGGTGAAAGGGCCATTGACTCCCCTTCCCACCAACCCTCCAAATAAGGAGAGACCACTGGCAACTCTCTCATAGTTACGTGCAAAGGGGACAGTGGGTTGGTTTGTGGGGGAAAAACAGAGTTTGCCCAGGAAAACTGGCCCGAGAGACAAGAGGCCAGTGTGGCTCTCTTTGTGGCAGGACAACTGCTTTCCTGCCTTTTTGTGATGTTTCCTCTTCATTTTGCCAGGTTACAGAAAGATCTCAAAACTTGACCAATGAGTTTAAGGTTTGCTGACAGCAAAAAATCACATCATTAGGGATGCCCGGGTGGCTCAGTAGGTTAAGTGTCTGACTTTGGCTCAGGTCATGATCTAAAGGTTCATGGGTGCAAGCCCCACGTCAGGTTCTGTGCTGACAGCTCAGAGCCTACAGCCTAAGGATTCTGTGTCTCCCTCTCTCTCTGCCCCTCCCCTGCTCGTGCTCTGTCTCTCTCCCTCTCTCTCTCTCTCAAAAATAAATAAACATTTTTTAAAAATCCCATCATTATCATCACCATCTCAACTAAAACCCTGGCTGACTCATGTCAGAAGAAAAAGAAAGTGGGTTTAGGAATAATGACCCAAGAATGAATTTCCTACATATTGCAATTTTTCAGAATCTTAAAGAAAACAGATCTGTGCTCCTTTGAACAGACTCATACAAGGAACACAGGCAGAAACTTCACCCAAGAGAGAAAGAAGGGGGCCAAGAAAGAAAAGGACCCAAATCTTAAACAAATGGCAAAGGACAGGCACCCTGCAGGGACTGAGGGAGGTACATTTTAACAAATAAAAGGAAGAAAGGAAAAACATACAATGTGCTGGTTTTCGAGAGAAAATTCAGTCACAAGTTAGAGTGTGTGGGACGGAGCAGTGGGTGCAAAGAGAAATACTGAGCCGCCCTAGGCTTGGCCACCTGGTTGCCAGTGGTGCAGAGAAGTGTACCTCCTATTTTCAGGAGAGATGGGAGGTGACCCTGAGAGTCAGCTGGGCAAGGAGCCAAACCCAGGGCAGTTTGTTGGCAAACATGAAGAAACAAAAAAGAGTAAGTGGGAAATCTGGGCACTAGCCAGCCTAGAGAAGCCAGGAACAGATTTTTCTAAAAGAGACATTCCAAGGAACTATATATTTTTTTTAAGAATAAGCCAGGGTTCACCATAGGCTCAGGTGGAGCTCAAAGACAAGGCTGTTGTGGAATGAGATTCATTTTGAAATGATGGAGAGAATGACAGGAGCTGACCGCATATTTGAGGCAAAGAGAAGCAGAAAACATTTTTGCAGCTGACATTTGGATCAGGTGATCTCTGCCCAGTGGGGCTCTGCCTGAGGCGACCCAAGGCCTGTTCAGAAGAGAGAAGTCTTAAATTGCACATCACCCCTGCAAGGCACCCAAGCAGGTGACAGAAGGCCTTAGAAAATCACATTCAAGAAGGAAAGAAAGCAGTGCTCTTGGGGCAGGGATAGGGCCTGGCTTCCTGCTACAAGGAAGTTTATTTACAGAACAGAGGGAAGCAGGGACATTTGAGGCAGTGGCAGTCACCAGGGTGAAGGCACTGGGCAGTGAAGCTCACCCATGAGATTCAAGGCATTCTGTGTAATGGGAAGAACCCAAGAGGATGGAACCAGCAAAGATTTCAGACCATGGCTCTGGTGATTTACAATGAACACAGGACAGTAGGGGATTTGGGGGAAATGAAGAAACAAAACATTGCATTGGGCTGTCCAGTGTTGTCAAGAGAAGCTCAGAGAATGATGAAGGACACTTCCATCAGGGAGGCTGATGGGAGATACTTCTTGCTTTCTGGCCTTTGCATATGCTATTCCCATTAGTCTGGAATGCCCTTTCCCTGCTTTTTCAGGCTCTCACTCTTTAAGCCTCAACTTGTGCTTTTCCTTCTCCAGGAAGACTTCTCTGGCTTTACTCCTTCTCCCCACCCCATCCGAGCTGGGCTAAGTGATCCCATACCATCCAATGCTTGCTTACTCCATTGTCTGTTGGCTAAACTGGCTCCCTACTAGTCATGACTGTCTTTTGTTCCTGTTGTGTTTCCAGGCCCTAGTCCATTACCTAGCCCGGTGTAGGGCACAATGAATGTATGGTTGTTGGGAGGATGAATAAATGCATGAGTCTGAGCTCAGAACAGGGGAATTCTGGGGCTTCCTGGTCCTAAGAGCCCATGATCCAGGAGCAGACTCTAAAACAAGCTCCTGGGGACATCAGGAGGCCACTGAGCACTACATCCAGCCAGATCCTGCTCTCTAAACCCGGGGTGAAGCCAGAGGGCCAAAGGCCACAGAGGTCTGTGCTGGGGATTATAGCAGTGTCTGCTTGGGACTGACAGAGTGCTTCTTCCACTCTAGAGCTAAACCTCAGGATGGAATCAGGGGGATAGTGAAGGGGTGAGTCTGCTCAGGAGGCAGCCCCTGCAGAGGAAGCCCAGTAATGAGAATTCCAGGCCTGGAGCCCAGGGAGAGGCATGCTCAGAGCACAGCCAACAGGGACAAACAGAATACCTCCCACGACTGTAAGAGGATTATGTAAAAGAAAGGGTAAGGAAGTGCTTTGTAAATTGGGATGTGATATACTACAGGAAAATGGGTTTGGGATTGGGGTTCTCAATTTTTTTTTTTTTTTTTTT